TTGGGAGGTGATTAGGTCATGAGGGTAGAACACTGATGAATGGGATTAGTGCCCTTACAAAAGGGACCCACCAAAGTTCCCTTGTTCCTTCCACTATGTGAGGACACATCTAGAAGGTGCCATCAATGAACCAGAAAGTAGGCCCTCACCAGGCACCAAATCTGCCAGCGTTCTGATCTTGGACTTCCAGCCTCCTGAACTGTGAGAAATAAATTTCTGTTGTTTGTAAGTTACCCATTTTATGGTATTTTGTTATAGGCCACATGAACTAAAACAAGTGGATTAAAAACAACACAAATTACTATCTTACTGTCTAGAAATGAGAGATTCAAAATGGCTAAAGTCAGGGTGAAACTGATAGGGCTGCGTTTCTTTTGGAGGCTCTAGGGAAGAAGCTGTTTCCTTGCCTTTGTCGGCTTCCAGAGGCCACCTGTATTCCCTAGCTTATGGTCCCTTGCTACAGCTTTAAAGCCAGCAGCACAGCGTCTTCAAATCTCTCTCTGACAGTGACATTCCTGCCTTCCCCTAATAAAGACCCATGTGATTAAATTAGGCCCATCTGGATTATCCTCTGTCTTTAGACCCTTAACCACATCTGCAAAACGTCTTTTGTCATGTAAAATAACATCCTTACCTCAAGGTTTTGGGAATTAGCTTATTAATGTCTTTAGGGGGTCATTATTCTGCTTTCCACAAACATTTAAAATTAACTATCAGGCTACAAAAGTCATAAATGAATTGAGCTTGTTTGCCCCAAAGGCTGTGTTCTTTTTTCTTTTTTTTTTTTGAGACGGACTCACTGTCGCCCAGGCTGGAGTGCAGTGGCACAATCTCAGCTCACTGCAACCTCCACCTCCTGTGTTCAAGCGATTCTCCTGCCTCAGCCTCCCAAGTAGCTGGGATTACAGGTGCGCACCACCAGGTCCAGCTAGTTTTTGTATCTTTAGTAGAGACAGGGTTTTGCCATGTTGGCCAGGCTGGTCTCCAACTCCTGACCTGAGGTGATCCACCTGCCTCGGCCTCCCAAAGTGCTGGGGTTACAGGCGTGAGCCACCACGCCCTGCCAGTTGTGTTCTTTTACATCATAATACACTGCCTTTTATATCCCTCACTTATTCAATATCATTACCATCCATCATGCTGTCACAAACACAGAAACCCAAGAAAAGTGGGATACAGGTCATTGAGAATAAATAATTTTTATAAACTTTTGTTCTTTCTTGTAACTTTTTATCAGTCGGCTATTCTAATGAAGCAAAATCTGATAATATATTGCTTTTATACTACTCAGTTGAGACATTCACATCTATTGAGGAGCAATGGGTACTTTGAAGGGGGTTTTTTCTTTCCTTTCATATCCGGTCAATTAGTCATCAATTTCCGCCTTCTAATATAGATACCACTAAAAAATTATATTTTGAAAAAAGAAATTTATTTTCTAAATGAAATTAAAATTACTCTGTATGTGTACTTCTTTTCCTCACACTGGAATTCTCTAGGGACCGTGTAAATGCACATCACTGTATCTTATGTTGGTATCAGTTATTTAACACAAGGTTGCATAAGAAAGTAAGCACGATGCTATGGTTTAGAAGTCATGAGATTCACATAGTTCAATATAAAGCTTCTGTGATAACTGGAGAGTTATTTTGACACATTTCTCCTTTCATAATTTATGCACCAGCCATCTCAGATTTCAGGTGTTTTCCCAACTCTGTGATATATTCTCTTCGCTCTGGGCCTAACTAAAGAAACGAGAAGACTTCCTTCAACTGGAAGACTTCTTCCTCTACCTCAAATGCCTCACTTTATTTTTTAAGTTAATTAATTAATTAATTAATTTTTTCTTTCTTTGAGACGGAGTCTTGCTGTGTCGCCCAGGCTGGAGTGCAGTGGCACGATCTCGGCTCACTGCAAGCTCCGCTTCCTGGTTTCACGCCATTCTCCTGCCTCAGCCTCCTGAGTAGCTGGGACTACAGGCACCCACCACGGCACCCAGCTAATTTTTTGTATTTTAGTAGAGACTGGGTTTCACCGTGTCAGCCAGGATGTATTTATTTATTTATTTGAGACAGAGTCTCACTCTGTTGCCCAGGTGGTGCAACCTTGGCTCACTGCAACCTCGGCCTCTAGGGTTCAAGCAATTCTCCTGCCTCAACCTCCCAAGTAGCTGGGATTACAGGTGCAAGCCACCATGCCCAGGTAATTTTTGTATTTTTAGTAAAGATAGGATTTCACCATGTTGGTCAGGCTGATCTTGAACTCCTGACCTCAGGTGATCCACCCACCTTGGCCTCCCAAAGTGCTGAGATTACAGGTGTGAGCCACCATGCCCGGCCTAAATGCCTCACTTTATTTAACTAACTCCAGCTCATTTGATTGGTACTTTCTTGGGAAAACTTCTTCTGGGTTAAGTGCCCTCATTAACTGCTCTCCTAATAAATTATTCTACTGCCATTCACATCTTGTTACAATAAGTCATGCATACCTACTTATTTTTCAGTTCCCTTAAAGGAAGGGACATTACACTCAAAGTCCACCTGGCATGCTGGCTGAAGGGCATGAAGTTTGAAAATATTTGTTAAATGATTATGGACATCTTTAGGACTTCATGAACTTACTTTCAGTTTAGTTTCTACAAAAGGAGAAACTTACAGCAATGTAGAAACAAGAGATTGATATGAATAAATTATGTGACTAACTCACAGATAATATGTCATTTGATATTTGACCTTTAAAGTAGTTTTCATATCAGATCTTTCGGTTATGGGTTCTATAGCTTACTGTGAACTTAGACATATTAGTTAGTCCCTCACCCAAGATCATCTGAAAAATAAAGGTAATATCAGCCTCATTAGTTAGTTATGCCAATTAAATAAGAACACATGTTTAAACCTCATATTAATGTGTATAGAGCATAGTAAGTAGTAATAAGCTGGAGTTTTATGTTGTCATGCCAGGCTAATAACAGTAAAAGTAATAGTAGTTTCACTGGAAGGTTCAAGATTAGTGTAGAAATTCCAAGATGATGTGAAATTTATCAGGGTTTACCTTCTGTCCCCTTTAAGCTAACAATGAAATCATAAAACGACGTAAAAGGGAAAAGCCTGCCAGTTCATATCCACTTCTGTGTATGATCATATAACTGGAGAGACGTCAAACTCATGCTGAGAACAACTAGAAGGCTAGAGTTGAAGAAAAAGGATTTCATTAAGATTATTAGAGAGTGTTCAAGGCAACTGGAGGGGGAACAAAGATTCTGGAAAGGGGCCACGGGGAAGTGAGTCAGCATTCCAGGAGCCACCCTTCTCTTAGGGGCATCTTGGCAGTGGGTCAGATGCTGAGATTCTGGGGAGAAGGCAGTGGATACCAGGCATTTTTTGCAGGGACAGAAAAATCTCTTCCTAAAGCACTTGAAGGGCCAAAATCCCAAAGAGGAGAGAGGGCCAAAGAAATGAGAAAAATTTTTCTCTCAAGCAATTTTCAAATTGTTAAATTTCACAGGTTAGGAAGAACAGTGTGAAAAACAGACTTCAACTTTTGGCAATCACATGTTGTTTAGGAGACAAAACCAAATTCAACTTCCAACAAAGAGAAGCAGCTTTGATCAAAAGCAGGTTCTCAGATGGAATTACTAGAAGGCTTTATCATAGGTCCTAGGAAAAACTAGAAAGGATGAAATACTAAAGAAAAAGATAGATGGAATCTTACAGAAACTGGAACTCAGCCCTAACTCAACTTCGTTTCTATTCGATTAAGGCAATAGCTGTCCAATCTGGAACTTATTTCTCACAGGTAAGGGGGGGACTACTGTATAGAATTCAAAAAACAGGTAAAATCAATTTATGTTGTCAGAGTTAAGACAGAGATTATATTTGGGGTAACGAGCGTTGCAGGACGTGAGTAGGGCACATAGGATGTTGGTATTGTTTTATGTGGTTTTAAGATATACTTCATTTAGGTACTTGTTACATGTTATATTTGTAATGAATGTGTTTAGTTGTACGCTTATGATTTGTGCACATTACTAAAAACTATATTTTAGTAAAAAGTGCCCTTACCAGCATTTATATACAAGAAATCAATACATCTGACAAGAAGCTCCTGCTGCTAAAGAGCCTCTGTGCTCCTGGATTATTCCACAGGGAGCACAGAAGCTGCACACCGTTCAGGCCCATTTTTGAAACGTTGTTGTAACAGCCATAGCAGCAACTTCCCAAAATATCTTGCAGAAATTGAAAACAAGATATTTTTTGAATGAACATAAACTCTTGGGAATGAATTTTAATTTGAGTTGTAGGCCGGGCTCGGTGGCTCAAGCCTGTAATCCCAGCACTTTGGGAGGCCGAGACGGGTGGATCACGAGGTCAGGAGATTGAGACCATCCTGGCTAACACGGTGAAACCCCGTGTCTACTAAGAAATACAAAAAACTAGCCGGGCGAGGTGGCGGGCGCCTGTAGTCCCAGCTACTCGGGAGGCTGAGGCCGGAGAATGGTGTGAACCCGGGAGGCGGAGCTTGCAGTGAGCTGAGATCCGGCCACTGCACTCCAGCCCGGGCAACAAAGCAAGACTCCGTCTCAAAAAAAAAAAAGAAAATTGCTGTTGTCTTTACTCACCTAACATTCATTTCCTCTGAGAGTCAACTCCTTCCTTTCAATACATTCTTATTTTCTATCATGATATTGCTTTGTACCACATAAAATACAATTATACTTTTTTAACAGTCAAAAAATTTTAAGTTATCAAGCATTAGTTTCTTTTGTAACCAAAATACTGTTGGAGAAGTAGCTTCAACTTTTTTTCTTTTAAATTCTTACAAACACCAGTTTATTCTGTTGTGATGAGCTGATTTTTGAAATAATTTGTGTTTCATTTGTTCCTCTAGCTACATTTAATTTAAAGGCTTGAAATTCTGAGTTACTGGGGCAGTTACATACTGACATATTTTAGTAGTTGGGCTTTTCTTGGTTTCGTTTTGTTTCGAATCATTCTTGGGGTTGAAAACAGACTGTGGTTTAGATCACTCATGGTAACTGGAAGCAAAATGCATGACAGTAACAATGTGGAGAAAGACATTGCACCATCCGAATTGCCTGCAAATCCAGGTAAAAAGCTGGGATGTAGAGTAAACGTGAGGACTGGAATGGGAAGGTAGCGGTAGTGATGGGCTCACACAGGTAAGGTACTGATCCAGTAAGAAGTTTTCAAGGATAAGAGATGCAATGTGGGAGTCTATAAATTGGCTTATAATTCATGTGAAATATGCATATATTTATATTCACAGTTGTAACAACTAAGGAGAGGGAACAATGAAACATGTAAGACAATGAGATAAGGTTAAGTTTATGATTGAAAATAAAAATAGTGAATTTCACTAAAAAAAAACTACAAACTCTAAAGTGTTACTCAGATACAAGATACTATCATTATTACATAGGTAGAAAACCTACCATGGAAGCTCATAAGAGAGAAAAGGTAGAAAATAGTCTGTAAAGGACATTTACAAATCAACAAAGTAAACAAAGGTTGAAGTAAAAACAGGGCATTCTAATGTAATTATGTTAGATTGGATGCACTGGAACTATATATAGAGAGAGCTTTATATGATGATTTATATGATGACTTAGTAAGTGAAAAGCTTTATATGATGATTTAGTAAGTGGAAAAAAAAAGTCTTTTGCCACAGTTAGAGAAAATCAAGGTTTTATAACTTAGGACTTAAAAGTTTGGAGTTTTTTTCCTCCCATCTTAAAAGGTAATCAATTTAAAGAAAAGGTAATTCAGAGGGGGAAAAAGATGAACTCTAAATGTTGTTAAATGACTTAATTTGTTTCTTCACTCATTGGGTATTTTGAGCATTTTATACCAACTGCTTTGAAATATTTGTCAGATAGTTCCAACATCTCTGTCATTTCCCTCCTTGGCTTGTACTGTCTTTCCCCACTGAAGTTTACATTTTCATGGTTCTTCATATGCTGTGTAATATTGGACTGTAATTTGAACTTTTGAATAAATATTTAGTTAGACTGGATCTTATTTAAATTTTGGAGAATATTGATACTATTGTTTTAGCAAGCAATCACACTGGTGGGATGAAGACAATCTGTGGGATCTGGTTCCAATGTCAGTTCCATTCTGAAAGCCTTTGTAGAGCTTTTCAGGTATATGCCTCAACCCGGGGTGAAACTGGCAACTGCGCAATGCTCTATTCATTAGCTCGGGTCTTAACATCTTTAGTATGCCAATTAGAAACACATCTAGGCATGCATAAGTTGAGGGGCAGGTGAATCCAGGAGTTTATAAATAATGTTCATGGATCTCTTTCTAACGTTTCTCCCTCTTCACCATCTGACCAGTACTTTCAGGTTCCCAGGGGCTTCTCCTTTCCATCCTCCATGAAACGCGGGGCTCCTTTTATTCTGATGAACCATACACTTCTGCAGTCATTTCTGCATCTTTAAACTCATGTGGCAGAAGGACAGCGAGAAAGAAGAAAAAAAAGCAAGAGGTTTGGCCCCACTCTCATGGAGCCACAACTCTACTGAATGGAGAGGACTGACTTTTCTTTTCTTTTTATTTCTGAGACGGAGTCTCGCTCTGTCTCCCAGGCTGGAGTGCAGTGGCCGGATCTCGGCTCACTGCAAGCTCCGCCTCCCGGGTTCACGCCACTCTCCTGCCTCAGCCTCCCGAGTAGCTGGGACTACAGGCGCCCGCCACCTCCCCTGGCTAATCTTTTGTATTTTTAGTAGAGACGGGGTTTCATCATGTTAGCCAGGATGGTCTCCATCTCCTGACCTCGTGATCCGCCTGTCTCGGCCTCCCAAAGTGCTGGGATTACAGGCGTGGGCCACCGCGCCTGGCTGAGGATTGATCTTTCTCAAGGTTTTGGCTATTGCATGTTGCTGTAGTTTCCACTACCATCATCAGATTGCCTGAGGTTTGAGGCACATGGCAGTGTAGACAAGAGAGAGGGAGAAAAAATAAATGTGGTGTTTTCAAACTCTATTTGAGGTAGGAGTTTGCTTTTTTGTTCCTCAAACCATACCTCTAGTGCTTCTCCTGGAGCCCTCTATTTTTATGCTGACAGATGCTCAATTCCATGTTTCTGGCTGTATTAAGTTCAGGGCAGTGATGTTAGAGGAGGGAAATTTAAATTCACCACTGGTTTGATGGCTCTTTAAATTTGGATATTCTTGTAAGATCTGCTGCTAGTATATCCTTTTTCCTTTTGCTCTTTTTTTGGTTTAAAGACCATATTTTTAGAGCCATTTTGGGATCACAGCAAAATTGTGAGAAAGATAGTTTTTTTGTTGTTGTTTGTTTTTCATTTTCTCCTTGTTGCCACACATACATAGACTCTGTCTTAGCCTGTTTTGTGCTGCTATTACAGAATACCCAAGACTGGGTAATTTATAATGAACAAAATCTATTGGCTCATAGTTCTGGAGGCTGGAAAGTTCAAGACTGAGAGACACATCTGGTGAGGGCCTTTTTGCTCCATCATCCCATGGCAGAATTTGGAAGGGCAAGAGAGCACATGCATAAGAAAGAGAGAGAGCAAGAGGCACCAAACTTGCTTTGATAACAAATCCACTTTCGTGATAGTAAACCCACTCCCATTATAAGGACATCATGGCCTGATTCCCTCCCTGGCTCTTTCAAGTACTCCAATCAGTGGTAGGTTCAGTCTTTTTACATAGTCCTGTAGTTCTTGGAGGTTTTGTTCATTCCTTTTCATTCTTTTTTCTCTAGTCTTGTCTGTCTGCCTTATTTCAGCAAGATAGTCTTTAAGCTCTGGTATTTTCTCTTCTGCTTGGTCAATTTGGCTATTGATACTTGTGTTTGCATCATGATGTTCTCGTGCTGTGTTTTTCAGCTCCATCAGGTCATTTATGCTCTCGCTAAACTGGTTATTCTGGTTAACAGCTCCTGTAATCTTTTATCATGCTTCTTAGCTTCTTTGCATTGGGTTAGAACATAATGCTGTAGCTCGGAGAAATTCATTATTACCTACTTTCTGAAGCCTACCTCTGTCAGTTCATCCATCTCAGCTTCAGCCTCGTTCTATGCCCTCGCTGGAGAAGTGTCGCGATCATTTGGAAGAGAAGAGGCATTCTGGCTTTTGGAATTTTCAGGGTTTTTGCATTGTTTTTTTCCTCATCTTTGTGGATTTATCCACCTTTGATCTTTGAGGCTGATGACCTTTGAATGGGGTTTTTGTGGAGTCTTTTTTGTTGATGTTGTCTTTGTTACTTTCTGTTGGTTTGTTTATCTTCTAACAGTCAGCCTTTCTGCTGCAGATCTGCTGCAGTTTACTGGGGAGCCACTCCAGACCCCGTTCACCTGGGTATCACCAGTGGAGGCTGCAGAACAGCAGATCGCTGCCTGCTTCTTCCTTCGGAAGTTTCGCCCCTGAGGGACACTGGCCTGATGCCAGCCGGAACGCTTCTGTATGAGGTGTCTGGTGACCCTTGTTGGGAAGTCTCACCCAGTCAGGAGGCACAGGATCAAGGACCCGCTTATGTAGAGAGTCTGATGTTCCCTTAGCAGAGCTGGTGTGCTGTACTGGGGGAATCCCACTCACCCGGTTCATCTGGTCTCTTCAGAGCCAGCAGGAAAGATTAAGTCTGCTGAATCTGAAACTGCCTCTCCCCTCAGGTACTCTGACTCAGGGAGATGAGAGTTCTGTCTGTAAGCCCCTGACTGGAGCTGCTGGAATGCTTGCAGGAATGGCCCGCCTGGTGAGGAGGGATGGCTCAGGGTCCCACCTAAAGAGGCAGTCTGGCCACAACCTGCCACAGCACTTTGCTGCACTGTGGGAAATTTGGCCCAGTCCAAACCTCTCAGGCTCCTTTGCACTGTCAGGGGCAAACCGCCAACTACTGGTGGTCACCCCTCCCGGCAGGAACTTGGTCATTCCAGGCACACTCCAGACTACTCTGCTGGCAGCGGGGATCTCAAGTCAGTGGGTCTTAGCTTGCAGGGATCCACAGGAGTAGAACCCATTGATTGAGACTGCTGGGCTCTCCTCCTTGGCTTCGGCCCCCTTTCCATGGGACTGGATGGTTCTCCTGCCTCACTGGAGTTCCACGAACCACTGGAGCATGTAAAAACTCCCGCAGCTCAGGGCCTGCCTAAACAGCCACCAATGGGAGTGGCTGTCATTGGTTTGCCCAAGTTTGTGCTTGAGACCCAGGGCCCTGGTGGTGTAGGCTCATGAGGGAATCTTCTGATCTGCAGATTGCAAAAATCTGTGGGAGAAGCATAGTACCCCTGGTGGGTAGGACAGACCCTCCCCACTTCCCTTACCTCAGGGAGGCAGGTCTCCCCGCCCTGGGCAACTCCTGGGTGAAGTCACACCCCACCTGCTTTCTCCTTGCTTTCTGTGGGTTGCACCAGCTGCCCAATGAGATGAACTTGGTACCTCAGATGGAGATGCAGAATTCACCTGCCTTCCACATTCATCTCACTGGGAGCTTCAGACCAGAGCTGTTTCTATTTGGCCATTTAGGCCCCTCCCGTCAAGTATGTTTTCTTTTGTAAGAAACTGCCAAAGTGGCTGTAGCATTTAGCTTTCTTACCAGTAATGCATGAGACTTCCGGTTGCTCCACATCCTTGCCAGCATTTGATATTGTTAGTGTTTTAATGTAACGCTTAAGTAATATGTAATGATATCTCATTGTTTTAACTTGCAATTCTCAAAGGACATATGATATTAATAATTTGTCTTCTCATTATTTTGATTATGTCTTTTGCAGATCAAAAGTTTTTAGTTTTAATGAAGTCCAGTTTATCAGTTCTTTCTTTCATGGATTGTGCTTTTGGTATGATATCTAAAAAGTCATCACCATACCCAAAGTTATCTAGGCTTTCTCTTATGTTATCTTCTATGAGTTTTACAGTTTTGTGTTTTACATTTAGGGCTATGATACATTTTGATTTATTTTTGGGAAAGAGGCAAAATCTGGGCCTAGATTCATTTATTTGTATGTGGGTGTCTAGTTGTTCAGCATCATTTGTTGAAAAGACTATCTTTTCTTAATTGTATTGCTTTTGCTCTTTTATCAAAGATCAGTTGACTATATTTATCTGGGTCTATTTATT